TGTATCTAATATGCGAAGTTTCTCTCAAAAACGGCTCCTGCTACCATTCCTCTGAATTTTGCCAAGTTCTTGGGTTAGAATGATTCTTTAAGTTCATGCGCAGGAGCTGCTATCCTTTTTTCTTTTTTTGGCTTATAATTCAAAATCTGCCGAATTTTTTGACTTAATCCATGCGATATATCGCATGCCAGTTCGACCATGCCAGGAACCGTGACGAACCAGCTTGACATGGACGTAGGTTCGAGATAGCTGCTCGGCTACGATGTCAGATAGACCATCATTTTCAACTTCCGTGATCTGAAGCACTCAATCATTCATTGAAGGATCCAGCAAATTGACAACATTGCTTTTATTATATTCCATGTTAACCTGTAAAAATAATGTATCGAATCTTTGAAGGGCCGGATGCTCCGACAAGAATCGATTATTTATAACATAGATTTTAATGGAGGAAATCCTGTTCTGCTGCCAAATTGCTGGATCCATCCCCACAATCATCCCGGAACCAATCCCTTCTAGTAGTATCATCCCTTTGAGTGTTCAAACTTTTTTTAGATTTTCACCAAGAGTGCCGTTTTACAAGTTCTCTACAAATCGATAGAAAATGCCAAGTACTAAGAAAAACAGCTCAACAAAGTTATTTTAAATGACGCGAATGAAAAAAGTACCAAGCCAAAAATGCAGGGCCTGTGAAGTGTTTATCAATATCCGCTTCTTTCATATTGAATTTCTTGTAGACTCTGTTCCATACGGCCTCTTGACCATTGAATGCCAATGCCATGTTAATTCCGTTGAGCGCCATCCAGTCGATCTCTCGCTCCCACCGGCCCCAGTCCCACCAAACATAACTGTAACTCCAGGTGCAGACGTTTTGGTAATATCGCCAGCTGAATAAAAAAGGACACTGTATAATTGAAAGCTCCTTTAAAATATTCAATTTCTGTTTCTTTCCTATGATGAACAATCGGAAGTTTTCAAAATTTGCAGTGCGAATTTAGTCACAACCACTGAGGGGCTTGGAGAACAAGTGGGATTGCCACAGTCAGCGAATGCCGGGAAAACTGGGAAATGTCAGGAAAAATTGCTAAGTCACCTATATTTCCTTTCTAGAATGCGTTTGGCGTTTCGAAGGACAAATTTTGCCTGGAAACTATTTCGAATTATGTCTTTTTAAGCATTTGGCATATCTTCAGTTTTCAGGGAGTTTTATCAAAAGTCAAGGAAAACAAGCAGAGAATTTCATTTTCTTGATTCGGTGGCAGCTTTAAACAAGAAGCAAAAGTGCAGTTTTTGCTAATTCAAGAAATATGTGTTTTAAGTTTCAAAATTACATGGAGCCTTATGGCAGAAAGGAAGTCTAAACTCACTTTTTGATGCTTAAAAGTTGGATTCTAGTTGTGAATTTTTCACAGACTATAATTTCAAACTAATTATAGTTGAGTTCATGAATATCTCAATTTTTCCAAAACTGCACTTATGCGCCTTGTCCTCCAAGCCTCTTAATTCATGCTCCATAGAGCTCAAGGATTTCAAGCAGACTCGGATTTTTAGTCTTGACTCTTTCTCAAACTACCCGAAACACTCGCGATTTGAGCTTCTTTTTTCTGATTTGAAGTATCTGATCCAAATATTGAAGTGCAACCATACAGTCATATACTGCCATGCTGAGGAGGAATGTCGGAAAGTTATAAATATTATCACTACGGCGTTCCTTCTTAGCACGGCAGTTTAGGTCTTGAACCAGAAATGCTTTTTAAAGATAGCTATAACGTAAGTATGTCCTTCTTGATCTCTGAAATTGAAGACTAATTGTACATGCAAGTAAAAAACAAAACAAATCATTGAAATCATCTCTATGAAGGAGTCTAAAAGAATATTTTTCTTCAAATTGTTCTCCTAAAAAATTCAGATGTTTAAGAATCCTTGAGACCTGTTTCCAGTAGTAACTGGAAACAGGTCTCAAGGAAAACCTCTAAAAAATGTGTAAATTGTAAAAAGTATGTACATGTCATTGGCGTTCACGGTGATGTTGACGTCAGGTAAAGGTTGAGGAAGATTGATTTCATCATAATCCCAAGAGATATGGCTGTCGCAAAAATGTTTCAAGTAATAATGAAATCCCCATGCTATGGCAACGCTAGATGACCCCTCAATGAAAACTTGATTTGAGGACGTTTCTTTTGTAAGCTGAAACAGCACAAACACTCAAACATTTTTAATCCGTCAGTTAACATGTTAAGATGATGCTTGTCTGCCTGTCCATATCCTCAAAAGAATAATTCTTCACAGATATCAAGGATTTCGGATTCAATCTGTGCGATGACTTTTGATATCATTCATAGTATTAATTACTGTCTTCTCACGAATAATTACTTTGTTGAATGAATTCCTCAATGACGTCCATTGACTGAATGAATAACATCTAGAATAACGTGGGCGTATTTCAAATTGAGACTAGAAATTTTTACCCATCATCGGTGCCGAGTAATTATCCAGTTTGCTTACGATCTCAAAAAGCCTTCAATACCAAAAGTATGCAACCGAGGAATACACGGGAGCGCGAATAATTGCAGCAACAGCGCCTGAACGGTGAAGAGTCGCTCACATGCTTGAGAGATCCAAATCAGACGTTATCGCAGCATTATGCCATACCCATTTCTATCATTGAAAACACGTAGACTCACTGATGTGCAACTATTTTGGGACGCTGTATTTTTAAGTTTTAAAAAGCACGGTCAGTAGATAGATTGCGGAGACGGTCTTTATTATGTGGTTACTTATGTTCGCAAGCGTGGCTTAATTACCATACGAAGAACGATCAGTTTCTTACTGAATAATCATCGGGGGTTTTTTGTGGGGGATTCCCACTGCAATTTTCCTAGGACGGTGAAGAGTTATCTTTAAATATTTCAGAAAAGAATGCATTTTCATACACCAGTCGCGGGAAAAAATGTGTCTCGCGGGATGTGCGGAGAAAAGATGACTATTGAGCTATATCCTCGGAGAATTAAGATGTGGTTGCCTCCTGTGGCTTGTATCTCAATTGGAAGTATTTCTATCAAACGGAACTATGAGCATTAAGACAAGAGCCCTGAAACCCATAAGAATATATGCATAACAGGGCTCACGTCATAATGCACATAGTTCCGTTTGACAGAAATGCGTCCAATTCTAGGACTATCACCGTTAGCTCTCCTCTGCTGTTTTTCAACTTTTAAAACTGAAAAAGCCAGGACTAGAAGAACCTACACGGAAAAAAAATTGCTGATTCAACAATTCAATTGCTAAAAACAGTGAGTGCAATGTTTCAACGCAGATTTTACAACAAAAAAATGCTACTTTAACCACCCCCGCGGTTAAATTAGTTTACAATGTGGTTAAAGTGGCATTTTTTTGTTGTAAAATCTGCGTTGAAATATTGCACTCACTGTTTTTAGCAATTGAATTGTTGAATCAGCAATTTTTTTTCCGTGTAACTGCACTGCAACATTGCCGGGTTTCTCTCGTCAAACCATTCAGTTACTGAAAGACAGTTGCACATTTTTCAAAAATCTCTTGAGAATTTTTTTCGGGAATAGATGAAAATTTCTTGAAAGTTTCAAGATAAAACACTCACTTTTTATTGATCAGAAAAATTAATTGTCAGGCGAAACTCTGCAACTTTGCGATGCATTTAAGCCCCTATTATTTTAACCCTTCCAACTGTTATTATATTATGTGAACAACGTTTTTTTTTTTTTAAGTTTGATGATTGCGTTTCTTCGTTAGTTTTTTACTTTTTTATTCTCCGTGCGGTAGGACTAATGTGATGACATGTCAGGCACCTAGTATTTCTCGGCATTAGGATTGTTAAAAAATCGCCATGATAGGCAAGGACATACCTTAAAAGCGGCCTTGTTTCCTTCGCTGAGATTTTCGTTAATAGACACATTGAATAAACGACTTGCATTCCCAATTACTCGCTCGATCAAATTTTCAACCGCCTGCTGTTGTCCCGTCAGTAAAATCGGCGAGTAGTCTGGAAAAATAGAAGAACAATCAGCATCAGCTCATTTGGCTTCAAAAGAAGTGAATCGTGTGACTCAAATGAAATCTCTTAACATATGAAACACGCCAGTACCTGATGTCGTCTCTACCCGGCCGAAGTATCACAAGCGCGATGCGACTTTTAAAAATGTCCGCATTTATTTTTTTTAAAGAGACATTCTTGGTTGAATCTGTTTGAAAACTTCACTTAATTTTATCAGCAGCCCAAAGAAAATTCAGTGAAATTTCCGGAGAATTTCGTTGAACGATTTCTCTGTAAAGAAATAAAATGGCGGCGAAAAATTTGAAACGTCGCGTGGTGCTTGGAATACTTTGATCGGGACGTGACAGGGTCTCCGAAACCTTGTCACCTCCGTGAGTAAGGTATAAAATGTGACAACTTTGAAATTTTACGAAGACCCTCTTCTCGAAAACTGAGAAATGACAGGCTAGAACTAGATACTGAGAATATTCTAGTGGTATGATCAGAATTTCTTCTGATGTAAATATTTTGGCTAAAAAGGACTCAAATGGCACAATACATCGGAAATTATAATTATTAAATTATTGGACCGCGTTCAGCAGAAAGGAACCAAGCCATATCAGCTATTGCCAAATGTAATCGGGCAATTTAATTTCATGAAAACGGTTGTGCGGATTTTTTTGGCGCGTATACGTAGTATACCGCCTTTGCGATCGTTTCGACCCCCCCCTCGATACAATAACCGAGTCCCCTAGTTCCTTACCGAAAAGTGACTACCGCGAACTTCTGAGATTTTCCAAAGCGTGTAAAAAGTTTACTAATCCGTCAATAATAATGATTAAAATTTGTTTCTCATTCTGGGGCTCGCTAGTTTATGTGTAATGAATACCAAGAGTCTACGTTTCTTGGTTTTTTT